GAAAAGCAGTAGGAATGGAGTGAAAAGCAGTAGGAATGGAGTGAAAACAGTAGGAATGGAGTGAAAAGCAGTAGGAATGGAGCTGTGCTGCTCCAGGGGCGCTGCTGGTGCTCTGGGGAGGGCGGTGCTCCTGGCCCTGCGTGCTTGGTTGTGTCAGAGGATGTGTTTTCCTCCATCCCCACTCCAAGGAGCTCATTGCGTGCAAGGGCTTCTCTGGGACTGATTTGCTGCTGGAGAAACAGCTGCATCCCCAGCACCTGGTGCCCACATTGCTGGATCCGTGGGGACGGTTCCGTGGCACGAGGTGGGCGCAGCCCCCGGAGCTTCCGCCCCGGCCCCGCCGCAGGATGTGGCCAGGCTGTGACACAGCTCTGCCACCAGCGCTGCTGCTCAGCTTCCTCCCCGTGCCGTGCTGGATCACACACTCCAGGGGCACGGCCGCCTGCCCGGGGGCCGGGTTTGCCTCCCCCACAGTGGCTCCCCGGGTCACAGGGGCTGTTCTGGCAGCAGGAAGGCTGGGCTGGATGGGGCTTGGAGCAGCCTGGTCTGGTGGGAAGTGTCCCTGCCCATGGAGGGTGTCCCTGCCCTTGGCGTGGTCTTTAAGGTCCCTTCCAACCCAAACCATTCCACAATGAGATGTGTGCCGTGGATTCACCTCCCAGCCCGGGGAGGATCTCACTGAACCACACTTTGGTTTCTCCAGCACACGTCGTGGCCCGTGTTGCGACAGGAGTTTGGATCTCCCTGCTCCCACACGGAAGAGGTCACTGAGCCCATTCCCGCAGGAAATGTTGAGCCTGTTCTTAGTGGGATGAACTGGAGTGGTTTGGGGTTTCTTCCTCGCTGTAATTAAATAAGAAAACAAGAGACCTTGGCTTAAAGCTTTTTAATCTTTCTCCAGAGAAGAACTGCTGATTAGCACTGCGGCATCTGGTAGGGACAGGCTCGATTGCAGCGATGGCAGTCGTGACCTTGAGTTTGGGATCTTTTTCCCAACATTTGAGGACACTGTTTACCTATTGGAACAACACCGTGGCTTCATATAAATCTAATCTAAATTCTGCTTGGGGAAAGGGGTTTGTTTGCTTGCTTGCCTATAAAATTATGACAACTTATTTGTGCTATTTAAGGCATCAGCTTAATTTCTGTTACTTTATTCATTTCTGTCCAGCACATATAAAATGATATTTTTGGTATACAAAGCTTTCTGCCTTAAGCCTCCATCAAAGAACAGCCTGACACAAATTCTGCAAGGGGCTGGATGTGGGAACAAAGGAGGTATAATTAGCTGCAGATAAACAGAGCTGTGTTTCTCGTCAGCATCCCTTCAGATCTTAACTTGGGTCTCACCCTTGGAGCTGATTCTTCTCCACAGACTGGAAGAGGAAGATGAGCTTTCCCTCATCTTCCAGCTTTTAACTTGAAGTGAGCTGAACTGAAGTGAAAATGTGTTTCTGGTCTGTGTGCACCTGCAGCAGAGGCTGTGGCTGCTCTCAGGGCTGGTGTTATTTCAGGAGATTCGCTTTCCGGGTGCCTGAGCTGTGACTTCTTCTTCTCGTTCCCCTCCACCCTGTGGTTCCTGTCTCTCGCGCTTTCCCCGCCTGCCCTGGTGGCTGCTCTGGTGGAGGGTGTTTGGCAGCAGCTCTGAGCTGTGCTGTGGCTTGGCATGACCTGACCTTTTGGGTAGGTTTGTTCCCGAGGGGGGAAGCACAGGTGAAAAGTTGGATCCAGGTGAAGCCCACATGGGTTTTAGTGCATTGGAGCTGAGCAGGAGCTGAGCAAAGTTTCTCTTTGTGGGGTTGGGGCTCTTGGTGCAGTGATGTCTGGATGAGTTGCTGTGGGGCCTGTTCCCTCATTCCCACAGGGAATGTGTCAGGAGTTCTCTCAGGAGTGGCTCCGTTCAGCCCAGGTCACCCCGACAGCCGCTCTGCTCCAGCTGGGCTGGGCTGGAAAGGGAAGGGGGAGGAAGGAAAGCTGGCGTGAGCTCTCCTCCTCCTCAGATGTGGGGCGAGGGCCCAGATGGCATCCCGGATCTCTTCCTATGGGATTTAGACAAGGTTTCCTGTTGAGAGAGCTGCTCCTAATCGCTGCCCTTCTGTGCTGTGTTGCAGATCAGGACCAGATGAGCAGAGGGAGGTTTCTCTGAAGATCAGAGTCGCCCCAGCCGTGCCCCGGGAAGCGGCGCGGCCTCCGGCTGTCCCCGCTGCGGGCCTGGAACAGCGAGAGGAGGAGGGAAGATGTCCCACGCTCTAAAGCAAGTGTTCAACAAAGACAAAACCTTCCGGCCCAAGCGCAAGTTCGAGCCGGGCACGCAGCGGTTCGAGCTGCACAAGAAGGCCCAGGCCTCGCTCAACGCCGGGCTGGACCTGAAGGTGGCCGTGCAGCTGCCGCCGGGCGAGGAGCAGAACGACTGGGTGGCCGTGCACGTCGTGGACTTCTTCAACCGCATCAACCTGATCTACGGCACCATCAGTGACTATTGCACCGAGCAGTCCTGCCCCGTCATGTCAGGGGGGCCCAAGTACGAGTACCGGTGGCAGGACGAGCACAAGTACCGCAAACCCACCGCCCTGTCGGCCCCCCAGTACATGAACCTGCTCATGGACTGGATCGAGGTGCAGATCAACAACGAGGACATCTTCCCCACTAACGTTGGTGAGTTGGGGTCCAGGCGTGGCTGGTGGGAGGGAGGGGGGTGCAGAACCTTCTCCTGGAGCCCTCGGGTCCCGTTTCTGTTCAGGAGGTGCTGCAGAGCTGTTTCCTTCTGTGCTGCTCAGAGCAGCTCTTCCCAGCTCCTCTGCAGTGCTCAAATACCCAGAGCTGCACCAGATCCCACTTGGAGTCGTGGACACCTCGAGGAAAGCCAAGGCAGGCAGTGCAGACAGGAGGCTGCCCTCAGAGCACAGGCTTGGAGGCAGCTCTGGAGTGGCTCGTGCTCCTGTGGATCAGCTCTCCTGGAGCTCACTGCCAGCCTGCATCCAGGCTCTGCCTCACCTGGTGATGCTGCCACGTGCCATAATCAGCCTCTTTGTTGTTAGAGGCTGCTTTGGCTGCCTCTGCCCCTCCAGAGGGGTGGGATGTTGGCACAGGCCTGGAGGGAGGGGCCATGTTTCATCTCCTGCCAGGGCCATGGAAAGGAGAATTTGGCCTAAGACACCTCAGTCTGCATATCCAGGCACAGCTTCTCTGGATTCGGGATGGAGATTGCTGGGTTTTGTTTATTTTGTGTTGAAGATGGGAGAATTCATTCCCTGAAGCCTCAGGTAAATATGACTGAGCCCATGCAGAGCTTCCATCTCTGGGGATGCAGGAGACAAGGTGCAGCAGAGCTCCCTCCCTCCTGCCCTGGTGTTTATCCCACTGGAGCTGTGACAGGATGCAGTTGGCCACTGCTTGGGGCACGTCTGCCACTCGAGCTCCTCCTCTGTGCCAAAATGCTGCTTCAGCTGGTGTGGGGTGGGCAAAGGGGGGAGGGGGGCAGTGAACAGCCGGTTTTGAGACACCAACCCCCTGCCCAGCCCTTCTGTCGCTGCCTGTGCAGGACCCTGGGGAGCACAGCGGGGGTGTTGGTTCTGTTCTGGAGGCAGGACGAGCTTCCTGCAGCACGAGGGTTGTGGTTGGGTTTTTTTTTTCCAGTTGTTACTGTTTTCAGCTCAGCTTTTAACCAGATCCCTCCCCCTTGACACCTAGTGAAACCTTGCAGCTCTGTCAGAGCACTGAAAGGGTTTAACTTGTCCCAGTTCCTCCAGGAACAGCCCGTGTGGACTTCACACCCTGATACCCCACGGAGGTGCTGGATGGCCAAACCCCCCTCCTGTCAGGGCCTGGCCAAACACAGACCTGGTACCTTTAAAGAGCACCTTAAAGGCTTTAATTTTTAACCAAAGACATATCAAAATAAGGGATAATGTGGGGAGGTAACAACACCAACCCTTTCCTTCAGGAATTTGCTTGGTCATATCTAGTGTTTTGCACTGTTTGTATAAATATGTCAAACAGGAGTAGAGGAAAACTCAGACTGGAACAGCTGCTGGGAATCTGGGCTCTGCTTTCAATCTCAGCAGTGCAGCTCTCTGTCACTTAAAAAATCCATGCTTGTGAAAAATCTGATCCAAAGGGAAGCAAAACGGAGAGGGCAGTGGACATTGCCAGGGACAGAAGCCCTTTTGTCTCAATCTGCCTGTTTTACCAATTTATTTTAGCTCTGAGGAACCAGTTTTAACTTGACTGAGGATTTCTCATGGCCATTCCTCCCTCCCAGGTACTCCCTTCCCCAAGAACTTCCTCCCAGTGGTGAAGAAGATCCTCTCCAGGCTCTTCCGGGTCTTTGTCCACGTCTACATCCACCACTTCGACAGGATCACCCAGATGGGCTCGGAGGCCCACGTGAACACCTGCTACAAGCACTTTTACTACTTTGTGAAAGAGTTCAATCTCATAGACACCAAGGAGCTGGAGCCCCTGGTGAGTGTCTGGGTGGGCTCAGGGTGCAGGGGGGGCTCTTGAGGTCTGCAGGGCAGGGCTGGGGGAGGCACAGAGCTCTCTGGTACCTTCTCAGGAGACCCCACCTCAAATCCTGGGGGCAGTTCTGGGCTCCTCACTCCAGGAAAGACATTGAGGGGCTGGAGCATGTCCAGGGAAGGGAATGGAGCTGGGGAAGGGGCTGGAGCAGCAGGAGCAGCTGAGGGAGCTGGGGGGGCTCAGCCTGGAGCAAAGGAGGCTCAGGGGGGACCTTCTGGCTCTGCAACTCTCTGACAGGAGGGGGGAGCTGGGGGGGGTCGGGCTCTGCTACCAGGGAACAAGGGACAGGAGGAGAGGGAACGGCCCCAAGCTGTGCCAGGGGAGGTTTAAATTGGATATGGGGAAAATTCCTTCGTGGAAGGGGTGGTCAGGCACTGAACAGGCTGCCCAGGGCAGTGGTGGAGTCATCATCCCTGGAAGTGTTCAACAAATGTGTGGATGTGGCACTTGGGGACAGGAGTTAGTGGTGACACAGCAGTGCTGGGGGAATGGTTGGACTCAATAATCTTGGGGGTCTTTTCCAACCTTAATGGTTCCATGACTCTCTACTAACCTGGTTGCCCAAATTCAGGACCAGTTGGCCCTGCACTTTGGCTGCCAGCAAACTGGGAGTCGGGACGGGCAGGGCTGGGGGCAGTTGTTCTCCAGCATCTCCTCCCACTCCCAGCAGCTGTTTGCCTCATTTGTGGGCCCTGTGTGATCCCAGCACTGTCAGCCAAATGGACACAGATGGATAAACCCCCTGGGGTGTCCTGGGTATGGGAACTGTGGGGAGAGCACAGCCCTGCCCATCCTGGAGCTCTGGGCAGCAGTGTCACCCCACACCTGAGAAGGGTACTGCCAACTAAACACAGGGCAGGTTTTTCCATGCCCCCCTCACCTGGCAGCCTGGATCCTCCTTCACCCCCCTGCCTTCTCTGTCCCTTTGGCAGAAGGAAATGACCTCCCGGATGTGCCACTGAGCTCTGACCTTCCTGCTCCCACCTCGGCGCCTCCTCCGAGGGCTCAGCCCCACGCCCGGCCTGGAGACGTGGTTCAAGGGGACAACAGAGACGTTTTCTTAAAGAAATTATATATTTTTAATGAGTTTCAATGTAAAACTGTGATATTGCAGGAATATTTTTTTAAAGATGCTCTAGATTAACTAGTTTTTTATAGTAATTTCTATAAAAAAAAGAGAAAATATTTTGAGGGCCATTTGATGGGAATGTCCGCTCTTGGAGAGGGGAAGAGCTGCCCTGAGCTGCCCCTGCCCTGTGCCCCGAGTGAGCTGAGCCAGATGCTGCAGGCAGAGCTGTGTGTGGAGCTGGTGCTGCCATGGAAGCGGTACTTCCCTCGGGACACCCATCCCACCCCTGCAGGCAGGCTGCCTGGGGAGGGAATGCTGGTGTACCCCGATCCCCGGGGTGCTCCTTGGTTCCAGCACCTCTTCCACAGGCCATGAGTCCAGTTTTGGGCAGAGCTGCTTTGTGCCCCCCGTGCCCAAGGCTTGGCCCTGCCTGTGTTCCCTTCAGGCCAGCTGGGAGTGGGGTTTTTCCCGTGGTTGCTGCTGATGGAGTCAGCGCTGCTGGAATCTGCCCTGCTCCCCTGCAGGAGCAGCTGAACAAGACAACAGCAGCCACCTGGATGATAGAAGAAGAAGAAGAAAATATTAAAGCAAAAATATTGTGGTCTAAGCTCTCCAGCCAGGCGGATGTTTCCTTATCTCCCCACACCCCACAGCCCCTGTGTGACTGCTCCCAGCCAGAGAACAACCCTGCTGCAAGCAGCTTTCCAACCTGACCTTGGGATTCCTTTCACACACACACACTAATCTCAGCTCTGGCTTGCTCAAAACCACAATATTTTTGTTTTCTGCTCCTTTTTCTGCTTCTTTTATCATCCAGGTGGCTGCTGTTGTCTTGTTTAGCTGCTCCTACACTCTCCTGGTGCAGCTCAGCACTGTCCCCACAGGGATCCACTGGCAGCCAAGCTGTGCCTCATGGAAGTTGAGCAAAGGGACAGGGAATTCCTGCCCCTCACCTCGTGGTACGCTGACCCTGCCAGGAAGGACCACTTTGTCCTCCGGCCTCGCTGGCCACAGGGATCACATCCTGCTTCCCTTTAGGGTACAGAGCCCTCTCCCTCTTCCCCAGCACTGTGCCCATGTGGGACCAAAATCTCTGGTGTGCAGCCAGAGCCCCCTGGCCTTGCCTGCTGCTTGCACAGTGAGAGCTCCCAGTGCCCCCAGTAGGTAGGTGGGTCTACCTACGGTTGGGACCAGTAAGAGAAAAGGTTTCTATGAACAGTGACCAAACTACCACTCACCACTTCTTCCTCACAAAGTGTTCCTGTGCCCTGGAATGTCTGTACATACGTGACTCTTGTTCCTGGGACAGTCATACAAACACCCCTCGTGCTCTGGAATGGAACCAATAAATTATGTTGTATTTACACAGCACACGTGATGGCCCCTTTGTCAGAGCCCTCCTATCAGCAGAGCAAACACGGGCTGCTGGGCTCCTGGGAGCTGTGCCGGGGAGCTCCTGGGTGCTCTGCGCCTGGGGGGGTTCCTGCTGCTCTCGGGGTGCCAGATCAGGGGCTGTGGAGCTCCACCAGCCCCCCGGGGTTGTCCTGCCTTGTCTCTGCAGTGTCCCTGTACCCCAGGGTTGAGCTGCTCTCTGCTGGAGTGGGAGTGGGCAGGGGAGGGCAGTTCCAGTCCCCCAGCCTGCCCAGGAGCTCTGTGCTGCCACGGGCACAGCCATCGAGGCTGAGGGACTGAACTGGGGAAAACTCTGCCTTTGGCGGCTGCACGTTATTCTCCTGGCCAGGAGGGGAGTGAGGGGCTCCCCAGCCTGGGCTCCTGCCTGTTCCCTGCCTGCAGCAACAGCTCCTGCCCATTCCCCTGCACAGTGGAGGTGCTGGGCCCTCCTGAGCACCCTCGAGCCCCTCTCCCAGTGTTCTGTGGGTGCAGCTCAGCTGGAGAAGCACGCTGTTCCTTGGCTGTTCCTTGGTGTGGAATATCCCTCTGGCCACGCCACCCTCGGCTTTTGTGCCCCTCCTCGCTGGCAGAGCACGAGACACTCCAGGTCTTTGGCTTAGGGTGAGCACTACTCGGCTACACCAAAACACTGGGGTGTTATCAGCATTATCCCACCCCAAATCCCAAACACAGCCCTGTGTGGGCTCCTGGGGAGACAACTGGCTCCATCCCAGCTGAAACCGGGAGAGCTGCAGGGACCCGAGCGGGGCTGGGTGGGCAGTGAGCAGTGCTGGGGCAGCTCCTGTCGCTGTTCCTCAGCTTTCCCGTTCCCCCCCGCCTGGAATGCTGTGAGGGCCGTGTCCGGAGCCCCTTCCACGGGACTGCGGGGCCCTGCCTTCCTCTGCCCCCCTTTCTGGGGGGAAAGACCCGCCCACCTCCACGCGAGACCAGCTCAGCCAAGGGAGGAGGAGGGAAAGCACCTTCCTGGGACATCAGCCGGGCCGGCGGTGCCGCTGCGGCTGAGCCCGGCCCCCACAGCGCCCGGCGGTGCAGGATGTTGCCCAGACAGGTCTGCAGAGCCACAGTCGGAGCTCAGCCGTGCTCTGCCTCTGCCTCTGCAGCCCCAGCCCTGCTTTCATCTCCCTGTGCTTTCATCTCGGGTTTACTCACCCCTGAGCCACAGCTGAGAGTCACTGCAGGGAGCGAGTGACTGTGAGCCCTCCGGGCTGAGCCCCCCAAGCTGAGCCCCCAGGGCTGAGCCCCCCAAGCTGAGCCCCCCAAGCTGAGCCCCCAAGCTGAGCCCCCAGGGCTGAGCCCCCAGGGCTGAGCCCAGCCTGGCGAGCAGGTTGAGCTGTGACTGAGCAGAACCCCTCGGTACTTGGATCAGTCTCCCCAGGCTCTGGGGTTGCAGAGGCGCCGTGAAGGCTTTGCTGAGAGCCCAGAGAACACATTTGCAGATCTCCTGCCCTGCAGGGCCTGGCTCGAGCGGGTCCCGTGCCCAGGGCTCGGGCAGCCTCCCCTCTGTGGGGCTGAGCCCTTCCAAAAAGCACAGATGGCACCTGCCCCGGAGCTGGAGCGGGCACGGGCTCGTGGCACAGAGGGGGCTGCACTGCCGTATGTTCCCAGGGAAATGCTCCTTCCCTTTGGCTCAGCACAGGCTCACCCACTGCTCCAAGGAAGCGATGGCTCACCCTGTGCCTCTCCCCTCCAGCCCCCAAAAGCCGAGGAGCTCAGGAGCTTTAGGGCCTCAGTTCTGCCACAAATCCCGATTTAGGATCCCGCCAACGACATCAGTTTGTCACAGATGAGTGATTTAGGGTCACTCAAAGAATCACTATCAACGTTCTCAGTGAAAGTTATTTTAAAGTGAATTTATGAAAGTGTGATTTAACAGAATCTGATGGCGAGGTTCCCCCTGGTACTTCCTACCAGACTAAGGAAAATCGAGTTGGAATCAAGCTGGAATGATTAACAAAGGGACCGAAGATATAAAAGGGTAAGAGAGACCCTTCTGTTGAGGATGAGGTTCAGAGAGGACCCTCACACACACACCTCCTTAACTCCTGATGGAGCTTAGGTACATCCAGGTCCAGTTTCAGTCTCAAACTGGGACAACAATTTACATCTGAAGGAATTCAGTGCATGGATTTGGTGTTCATTCAGTGTGATGTCAGGAACTCACCGAGGAGCTGCTGTGGACAGGGGTCTCTCCACCTTGTGATAGGGAGGATCTGTGTCTCAGGTAAGGAATCCCAGACCTTGAGGGGGTTCCCAGCTCCAGGGGAGGTCACCACGGGCTTCCAGGCAGGGAGAGCTCCAAGGCACTTGTTGGGACTGGCTGGTGATGGGATGATGCCATTGGCTCACAGTCCAATGGCACATGAAGGGAAAGGTGTAGGAGGCTCCTTGTACCCACGGCTTGCTTTGTTCCTTGATAAATGAGCCTTGGAAAAGCCACCCACTATCCATGTGTTAATCCCAGTATCAGTGTTCCAGGCTCACATGGATCGATGCTCCCTGGGTCACTCTGCTCCTTCGTGGGTTCCCTGGGAGTGCTGGGCCTGGCCCTGGCCTTTTCCCTCTGGAACCCAGAGCAAACACCCCTGGTTTGGTTCAGGTGTCGAGCACATCCATGAGTCCCATTAGGGTTGGCTTCTAATGGGAAGCTGGGGAGTGGGGGCAGCAATTCCATGGACCCCCAGAAACCATCCAAGAGGGAGCAGGGGTTGGGGGTCTCCTGCAGCATCTGCAGCCCCATGTCCGTGTGTCCACGGGGTCAGTGCAGGAGCCACATCCCGCTGGGTAAGAAGGGGAATGTCCCCAGCCACTGCCACCTCCCTGGACAGCAGATCCTGCTCAGAGCATTCCTGGGCCTGTGCTGTGACACAGCCACTGCTGTGGCTGCCTCATCCCCTGCACCTTTGGAGTTGGGCAGCAGGGGCACGAGGTGGCAGAGGAGTGTCCCTGCACAGCTCTGCCACCACAGCCCCCAGGCCTTGGCAGCCTCGATCCCTCATCCCTGCACAGGCAGTGGCAGCTTTCCAAGTGCTCAGAAATGTGCCTTTTGTTTGTCCCATTTTCCCTGGACAGCTGATGCCCCTGAGCCCACGTTCCCCAGGGTCCCTGGCAGCCCCCCAGCCCTGATGTGCCACCTGCCTCCTCCCGGGCAGAGGGCAGGGCCCTGGGTTTGCCCTGCTCCGCTTTTGGGCTCTGTGGAGAGGTGACAGCCAGTCCTGGGACAGGAACAGTCACCAGCATGGCACGTGCTCCCTCTCCCTTGTATGGCACAGCCAGGCCAGGGGCCAGCAGCTCCCCAGCCTGTGCCAGGAACATGGGCAGGACCTGGAATGCTTCTGGGAAAGCTCTGGAGCAGGGAGCACGTCCCGTCCCCACAGCTCAGAGGTGACACCGATACCAGGGGCACCTGCTGCTCTGTCCCGTGCCAGCCCTGTAGGGACAGGGGGCCCTCCTTGCCCAAGAGGTGCCCCAGGATCACTTTTTGTCCTGGTGAACAAATCCCCAGAGGCTGCTGGGACAAAGCCACCGGCACCCACATTCTCCAGCAGGGTTGTGCAGGCCCCACTGCAGTTTCAGTGCCCTTTCCATGGGAATTTTTTGGTGGTTTGGGACTTTTTCTGC